CCGCTGAGCCTGCGCGTCCGGAGCCTGTGCTCCGCAACGGGAGAGGCCACAACAGTGAGAGGCCTGCGTACCGCAAAAAAAAAAAAAAAAAAAAAGAATCCTTTGACCTCCTGTAGCTCCAGCTCCAGCTCTTTGTCTCTCTTCCCCTTGTACTATAGTGTTATATATACAATGTCATATATACAGTCTTGACTCAGTTTTGAGACCCTGGCTGAAGGTTCGTCAGTTTACCTTCTTCTTTTTTGCGTGATTTTTTTTTTTTTTACAGTTTTGTTTATTTATTTGGCCACGCTGCGTGGCTTGTGGGAGATACCCGAACAGCGACTGAACCCGGGCCTAGCAGTGAAAGCCTGGAATCTTAACCACTGGACCGCCAGGGATCTCCCCAGTTCTCCTTCTTGAGAAGCTGATTAAATCCACACCCTCACCACCTCCCCTTTGGGGATCCATCTGCTGGAATTGCCACCAGGAACAGGGGACAGGCCCTGTGCATCAGAGTCCACTGAAATGATTCAAACTAAACCCGTTTGCCTTGGATTGCCCACTTCTGCCTGCAGAAACCACAGTAAAGCCTCTTCCTCAGGCGTTCCCAGGCCTCCCAGCTGACCCTGGTGCTTCTCTGCATGGCCTTGCTTGGTGTAACGTGTAATCCCCCTCCTGGGATCTGTGATTGTAATGAACTATCTTTCAATGGTGTCTGTCTCTGGATCCATTGGCCTTATCACACCTAAGCAATAATAAGACCTATGAAAACACACCTTCACATTCAAACGTCTCACGCTGACCAGTTTTCTCTGCTTCCTTCCCACCTTTCACCATGGCCTGGTGTCTCCACCATGACTACAGGGGAACGAGGACTTTTTTCAAAGTCCCCTATCTTATTTGCCTCCTTATCACCAATTCCAAAGGCCACCTCTCAGTGCTCAGCAGCATTTAGCACCTTTGACCTTTGACCGCGCCTTCCTTTCTTCCGGATCCACCCTCTTCCTGAACGCCCTCTCCTGGTTTGCACCATCACCGCCTCTCTGGCTGCTGCATCTCCATCTCCTTGGTGGGCCCCTGGTCCTCCGCCCATCCTAAAAGGTGGGCATCCCCAGAAGCCCCTCCTCAATGCCCCCTTTCTCACTGGACACACACTGCTTGTGGGGTTTGTCCACTTCCTTAGCTTTGCTTTCCATCCATTCATCTGTGACTTTTGAAGCTCCATTGCCAGTCCCTACTGCTCCCCGTCCCGAGCTTCAGAGCTGTTATCCCACCTGCCTCCTGGAATCTCCAGCTGTGTGTCCTCGAGGGTCATCGCTGGGACATCCAAACACGCACGTTGAGGTTGAGGAGGGCAAGATGCTCAGCATACAGGTGGGGCCAGACCTGGAATCCAATGGGTGCAGTGATTTGTTGCAGATGCCATATAATGGACACAGGGTAAGGAGGGGAGAGGTCACAGGGCGAGTGGGGCGGGACGCTGGCCAGGACAGATTCTATGGTGAAGGAGAAACTGGACATCATCGTATTTACTCTCCCTCAAGCCCCTGCCTCTGATGGCCATGCCCTCAGTTTATGCCTCTCTTTTACACCCAGGCCGTCTCATCTGGTTTCGCAACATCCCTTAACTCCCTGGTCTATCTCTCCTCTATTGATCCCTGGGGATCATTCTGACATAGAGATTTGATGATGATTGACCCAACTTAAAGGGGACTCAAGGTGATGAAGACATCTGCACAAACGTTTTTCTGAACCACGGAACTCTGTATCCAACAGCCCATTCAGCATTTTCACTCACATGTCTGACAAGCGTCCCAAAATCAGTGTGTCCACCACTGAGCTCCTGATACTTTCCCCAAAACCTGCACCCCGCATAGTCATTCCGTCTCAAGTAATGGCCATTCCAGCCTCCCTGGGGCTCAGGCTGAATTCCTTGGGTTCACTCCTGAGCCCTCTCTGAATCCCACACCATATACATCCATTCTTTAACCAGGTCTGCTCTTCAAACACTCAAACGGCATCTTGAATCTGATTCCCTCTAACTGTTTCCTGCTCCAAGACATAACAGACATCTGGATTATACACAGACGTCTTCCTTTGCTTCTCTGCTTTTGCCTTTGCTTCATAAAAATGTGAGACTGTGTCACAGGTCTATTGAAAACCTCCAAAAACTCCCATCTCAGGATAAAACCAAAGTCCCCACTATCATCTACAAGGCCCAACCTGATCTGATCCCACCTGGTAGCTCTCCGACCTCATTTCCTACCCCACCCCCACCCCCACCCCGCCTCATCCACTCTGCTCAGTCTCAGAGACACACCACGTTCTCCAAACACGCCAAGCCTGTGCCTGCCTCGGGGCCATCGCACGTGCTGGTCCCCCTGCCTGGAATGCCTTTTCCCCAGATGGGCACAGGACTCTCGCCCTCGTTTGCTTCAGGTCTGTCCTCAAATGACTTCGTCTCAGTCATCTTCTTAGTAAGGCCTCTCCTGGACACTCTATTTAAAATATTCCTCCACCCTTCCTGCCTCCACCTCTTGCTTTATTTGTCTCCAAGTAAGCATCACGTTCTTTATCATCTTGGTTTTGTTTTTTGTGTGTTTGTTTGTTTTGGCCGCACTGCACGGCTTGCAGGATCTTAGTTCCCCGACCAGGGATTGAACCCATGCCCCCTGCAGTGGAAGCGTGGAGTCCTAACAAGTGGACCGCCAGGGAATTCCTAGTCATCTTGTTTATTAATGGCTGCTTGTGCTAGAATGTAAGCTCCACAAGGGCAGGAATCTTTGTTTCAGCCAGTTTCCTCGGCACCTAGAACAGTGCCTGACACTTAACAGGGGTTCAGTGAATGTCTTTTTGGATAAATGAATGGAAGTCCCAGAATTGAGACTGAAAGAGATCCCACAGCCACCAGCCCAGGCTGCTTAGGGAGTGGGCAGCGGTGAAGGCATTGCGATCCCTGCCGTAGTGGGGATCTGAGGCTGGTGTGGGTGGGTTCCTTGGCCCTGCCCTCTGACCTATACAGTGACCAGCTGGATTTGACCTGACAGTGAGTCTTTTGAATGCTCCCCAAACCCACTCACCTGAACACCAGATCCCTGGGGGCTGGTTTCTTCTCACTCTTCTTATGCCTGGGAAAAGGACATGGGGAGTGAGGCCAGAACCACGGATCCCCATCTTTCCCCAGGCCCCCTCCCTCCTGGCGCCCGATGAGCCCTGCACCGAGTCTCACCTCTTCAGGAAGGAAACCAGCAGGCCCACCAGGTTGAGAAACAGAAGAGGACTGACTACGGCACCTGGGGGAAGGAGGCGTGGTGGGCTGTGAGAGCCTAGGTCTGCTCTCCTGCTGTCCCATCTCCCCTACCTCTGTCCTCACCCAGACTGTGATCAGAGGGTCTAGAGGGTAGATTCGAGGGCAGAGAAGGGAAAGGAGAAAGCTTCTGGATAGAGCCCTACCTCCCACCCAACCTCTTCCCCTTAGGTCCTCACTTCCCGAGGAGCCTGATCCAAAGGCATCACTTTCTCAAGTGACCTGGTTGTTAGAGAGTGACTCTTCCCCAATTTGGCCTAGACTCGTCGTTCTCAGAGAGGGCGATTTTGCCCTCCAGGTGGCATCGGGCAATGTCTGGAGACACTTCTGGTTGTTACAGCTGTGATGGTGGTGTCACTGGCATCTGGTGGGTGGAGGCCGGGGATGCTGCTTACAGCATCTTACAATGCCCAGGGCAGCCTCCCCTCCCCATCAGAAAGAGTGATCCAGTCCAGGATCCAAGAGGACCTGTCTTCTCAGAGACCCTTCTTGCTAAACCAGAGAATCCTGGACAGTGGGACCCACTGAGCCCAGTTTGGAAGAGCATCCATTTATCAGTACACCAAACTCCAGTGTCTCCAGATCAGAGACCCCGTCTCATAAGAGGCTTTCATTCCTAGGAAATGGTTGACAGGGCCCAGGGAGGCCCACGACCACGGTCAATGGTACATGATCAAAGATTTCCTGAGCGTGAGGTTCAGACTTCTTCAAATACCCCACTGGTGGGTGAAAAATGGTGCGGCCGTGTTGGAAAAAAATTTGGCAGTTCTTCAAAAGATTAAACACGGACTTACCATATGATCTAACAATTCCACTCCTGGGTATACACCCAAGAAAAATGAAGACATACGTCCACATGGAAACCTGCACACGAATGTTCAGAGCATTTCTCATAATAGCCAAAAAGTAGAAATGGCCCAACAGATCCATCAAACAGATGGATAAACAAAATGTGGTCTGTCCACACAATGAAATCTTATTTTGGCAATAAAAAGTAATGAAGCACTGATACACACTAGAACAGTGGATGAACCTTAAAAACATTATACTAAGCGAGAGAAGCCTGTCAAAGAGGACCACATATTGTGTGATTGTATTTTTAGGAAAGCTCTAAAAGGGGCAAATCTATGGAGACGGAAGTAGATTAGAGATTGCCAATGGCTGGCTGGTGGGGGATTGGGGAAATTAGGGGGTGATGGCTTAAGGAGATGACTTTTCTTTATGGGTTAATGAAAATATTCTAACATTGATGGTAATAATGGTTGCAAATACTGCAAATATACTAGAAGCCAGTGAGCTGTACACTTTCAATGGGTGAACTGTTGTATGTTATAGGAATTACAACTCAATAGAGCTGTTTAAAAGAAAGCAGGAAATAAAACAAACAAAAAGGACTCCATGGGTTGGTGAGACTGTCTCACTGTGTAACAGGGTGTGAAGGGGTCTGGAGAGAATGTCATTGTATCAATAGCTCTCTGTCCCCGTGGGGCTCTGCTCACCTGTGCTCTCGGTGTGGCAGGTCACGGAGGCAGACTGGGCCCTCATTCCATCCCAGACGGTCGTGATGGTGGCTGAGTAGGACTGAGCCGGCCTAAGTCCCGACACCCACACGTCTCTCCCACAAGAGGAGCTGTCCTGGAGTCCCGCTGCCCGCCCACCTCCAACTCAAAGGCCTCATAGCCTCCCGGGGGGCAGGACTAGGTGAGGATGACTCTGTGGCCCCCCGAGGCGCTGATACAGGAGGTGATGGTAACGGGATCCGGGGCTGGGTGGAGGGGACAAGAGGAATCAGTAGGCTCCATCCAGGGGGGCTTTCCAACTCCCCACTCCTCACCAGTCAGGCCAGTTCTCTGAGAAATAGCTTATCCCTTCCTTCCCCTAAATCAAAATACCTCTTTGTCCCTCATTATCTGTTGTCCCCAAATAGACATGCCCCCCTTAAACTACAACTCCCATGAGCACTTGGACTCTCTGTGTCACTGCAGCTAATGAAGTCATGACCCCATGGCCTGATGGGATTTGGAGTCCACTCACCTTCATTGCTCCCAGGTCTGATCTAAGTTACTACCTGGACCTTTACGGGAAAGGTTTGCTGGCCCATGACATAGTTATTTTCACCAGAACTTTTAGGTTCACAGCAAAACTGAGTAGAAGGTACAGGGATTTCCCATACGCCCTCTGCCCCCATCATGCATAACCTCCCCCACTGTCAACATCCCCAAAATGTACACGTTACCATTGATGAACACAATGATAATCATCCAAAGTCCATATTCCATTCCTTTTCGTGGCTGAATAATATTCCACTCTATGGATAGATGACAATTTGTTTCTCCATTCACCAGCTGATGGACATTTGGGTTTCCATCTTTTTGGCTGTTAAAAATAATGTTGCTTGAATTGTATGTTTTCAGTTGTATGTTGTATGTACGAAAACATTGTATGTTTTCAGTTCTGTGGGGCCTGCCCCCAGGAGGGGCCAAACTCTCTTTTTACAGACTCCGTGGCTATCCTCTTTCTAGCCCACTCCAGCTGCCAACCCTGTCCACCCCTCCACCACCAGCTCACAATCCCCTTCAATCTTCCCAGGAGTTTCTCACTGTTTTTGCTGCTCAGTGGACATCAGTCTCTCTGCTCCACGCTTTCCTCTCCTTGTGTGGTTCAAGAACTGAAGCCGTGTTCATTCACCATCTTGAAGCCATTCCCTGCCTGCCTGCAGGTGTTTACCCAACACCTATGGCTTCCTGCAGGCAGGACCACAGGCTCAACCAGCACCGGGAACTCCAAGGGCAAACAGCCTCTTCCAGCCCTGGCCAAGCTTACACTGTGGTGAGGGGGCAGACTGGGAAGGTAACCGCAGAGTGACATGAAGTGGGCTACAATGGTGAGAGCACCGAGGAAGCATCTGTCCCTTAGTGGGAGGTGACACTGGGGCTGAGTCTTCGTACAAGAGCAGGGTTTGGTCAAGTGAAGAACTGCATTGGGAAGTCATCACAGGCAGAGGGGAGAGCCCATGCCAGGGCTAAGAGGGAGCAGAGGGCTGGGGGTAATCTGGGGGGGGATTTCTGTGTGGCCAGAGTGCCAGGTGGAAATGGGACTGGAGGGAGTGATCTTGAAGTAGGGGTCAGGCCACCCGGTCCCAGCCTAGTCTCAATCTATAGTTAGCCTGCGGGGTTGGTGAACACGTGGAGATTGGGGAGAGGAACATTTTCTGGATAGGGCATGGAAGCTCTGTGCCCTCTCCCCACACCTTGCCCTGTGCCTGTGCTTCCATCTGCCTGTTCCTGAGTTACATTCTGTAATAAACCAGTGATCTAGTAAGCAAAACGTTTTTCTGAGTTCTGTGAACTGCTCTAGCAAATTAATCCAACCCGAGGAGGGGGGTCTTGGGAACCTCTGATTTATAGCCAGTTGGTCAGAAGCACAGGTTAACAACCTGGGCTTGTGACTGGAATCTGAAGTGGGGGTGGGGGGTAAAAGGTGGCAGTCTTGTAGGACTGAGTCCTTAACCTGTGGGATAGTGTCAGAACTGAGTTGACTTGTAGGACGCCCAGCTGGTGTTGGAGATTGGCTTGTTGGTGTGGGGAGCAAGACCCACACTGGAATTGAGTGCAGAGTAGTAATTGTTTATCATCATGAAACACGGAACGATAAACAACAAGGTCCTATTGTATAGCACAGAGAACTATATTTGACTTTTTTCTTTTTTCTTTTTTTTGTTATTTGGCCACATCACAGGGCATGGGGGATCTTGGTTCCCCAACCAGGGATGGAACTCACGCCCCCTGCATTGTAAGTGAGGAGTCTTAACCACTGGACCACCAGGGAAGTCCCTGGAGAACGATATTCAGTATCCTAGGATAAACCATAATGAAAAAGAATATTTAAAAAATAATGTTTATATACGTATAACTGAATCACTTTGCTGTACAGCAGAAATTAACACATTGTAAATCAACTATACTTCAATTAAAAAACAATTAAAAAAAAAAGAAAAAAAAAAACACTGAAAACAACCCAAATGATTGGAAACACCAACATTTAGAGATGAATTATGGGGAATTCTCTTGCAGTCCAGTGGTTAGGACCCTGCACTTTCACTGCCGAGGGCACGGCTTCAATCCCTGGTTGGGGATCCTGCAAGCCACGCGGCGCAGCCAAAAAAAAAAAAAAAAAAAAAAAAAGTGAATTATGCTAGTGGTTTCCTTGGGCTGGAGGGGATGGGTGATTTGTAAAAGGCACGGGGTCTCTTCTGGGGGTGATGAAAATGCTCGAAGACTGATTGTGGTGATAGCTGCAAAACTGTGAAAATACTAAAAACCACATGCACACTTTGAGTGGGCAGTTGGTGGTGTATGAAGAGTATCTCAATAAAGCTGTGATCATAACATCGTTTTCAGGAATTGGATATAAATGCCTTCAAACAGAACATGGTCACAGTATAGTGATTACAGACAACAATGCTGTATCATAAATTTCAAAGTTGCTAAAAGACTAGATCTTAATTGGTCCCACCACAAAAAAAAAAAAGTTATGTGATGCCATAGAGATGTTAGCTAACATTACCAGGGTAATAATCATACTGTGACGCATCAGTGTATCAAATCAACACCAGTACACCTTAAAGGTACACAATGTTTTATAGCAACTATATCTCAATTAAAAAAAACAGAATATGGGGGCTTCCCTGGTGGCGCAGTGGTTGAGAGTCCGCCTGTTGATGCAGGGGACGCGGGTTCGTGCCCCAGTCTGGAAAGATCCCACATGCCATGGAGCGGCTCGGCCCGTGAGCCATGGCCGCTGAGCCTGCGCGTCCGGAGCCTGTGCTCCGCAACGGGAGAGGCCACAGGAGTGAGAGGCCCGCGTACTGCAAAAAAAACAAAAAAAACAAAAAAAACAAAACAGAATATGGGCTTTAGACAGATGGAGGCTGGAAATATTGCTCCTTTAGCATGTTTCCCTGGGGTGGAAGGTTGCTCTGGGGGGCCCTTTAGGAGGGGAGAGGGTGCTCACTTCATTCACCCACCAGTTAGTCTGTCATGAGTCTCCCACCCTTAACGGCTGACAGAGTGATGAGGACCTTGGTAGCGTAAGAGGTGGTCATGACCACCAAGTGGGTGTGGGGCTGAAGGAAGGCATCCCAGGCCAACGTGGCATCTGAGATTGTGAAGAGCAGGGCACCCCCACCCAGAACACCTGCCTCCTCTGGCCTGAGGCCTTCCTCTATGGTGAGTGGGGATCCTGGCCTGAAGGTGAGGCAGGGACTAGAAACCAAGGGTGGGCTCTGGAGGTCCCTAAAAACACATCATGGGTAAGTTTCCTCTCTGATATGAGTCCCTAAAAAACCACATCATGGGTGTATAAGTGCCCTCTCTGCTATAAGAGTCCCTAAAAGCAAATCATGTTTGTAGAAGTCCTCTCTCTGCTGGAAGAGTCCCTAAAAATCACATCATGAATGTAGATGTTTCCTCTCTGCTACAAGAGTCCCCAAAAGTACATCACGGATGCAGAAGTCTCCTCTCTGCTCTAAGAGTCCCTAAAAATCACATCATGGATGTAGAAGTCTCCTCTCTGCTGTAAGAGTCCCTAAAAGCACATCATGTCTGTAGAAATTGAGCAGGGTTTGGAGAGCAGCTGACTGCTTTCTGTCCTCACATGTAGAACCTGAGGCCCAGAGAGGAGCAGTGGGCTATCAAGGTCACAGCCAGGACGAGGGCCATACCCAGGTTCTTTCTTATTTAGTACTCTATTCCCACCGTGTTGCTACCTACCCCTTCCTCCAAGTCTCTTCTTGAGTTTCCTCATCTCCTCAACGCTCTCCTCTCCTGGTACTGTATGTGACTGTCGTCAGTTGAACTGTGGCCCCCAAAGAGATATGCCCAAGTCCTAAGCCCCAGCACCTATGGATGTGATGTTATTTAGGAATAGGGTCTTTGGAAATGTAATTAGGGATCTTGAGATGAGATCATCCTGGATTTAGGGTGGGCCCTAAATCCAACAACTGGTGTCCTCAGGAGAGGACAGACTTACAGAAGAACACCATGTGAATGTGGCTAGGGCCACCAGGAGCTGGAAGAGGCAGGAAGGACCCTCCCCTAGAGCTTTGGAGGGAGGGCACCCCTACCAACACCATGATTTTGGACTTTTGGCCTCCAGAACTGTGAGAGACTAAATCTGTTATTTTAAGTCACCCAGTTTATGGGAATTTGTGACAGCAGCCACAGGAAACTAATACACTGACCAAACCGTCTCCTCCTGGCCTCCAATCTGTAAAATCCTCATCTGTACAATGAGCATAATGAATCCCCACCACCATCAAAGGGCCTGGGGTGGGGGGCGCTTGGTTATTCCATATCCCCTAAGCCCTGAGCACCAGGACTGGTCCACAGGGAGTCTGCTGTGGGTATAGTTAGCAACATTGCGTTGTACGTGTAAAAACGTGTTCCAAGGGTAGATCTCACAGCAAGTGTTCAATGCACAACACTGTGAATGTACTTAACGTCACTAAGTCATACACTTAAAGGTGGTTAAAATGGTAAATTTTGTGGGAGGAAAAAAAAAGGAAAACGAACCACTTGCTGTTATTGTGATCACCCCTCCCTTCCCACCCCTCCCCAAATAATGGAGATGTCACCATTTCAACACCCACTTTACTTAGGCAACAGAAAAAAAGATCAGGGCCAGAAACAGTTCTGTGTCTCCAGATAGACTGGCACCAGCAGATGGGAGTCTGGGGGACTGGCTCTCACCCCCAAGGGTGTTTCTCTGGCCTCACTGGTCTTGGGGGCCCAGGTCCTTGAGGGAGGAGGGGGGTAGACATCTGCCTGCCTCAGCCCCCTGGTCAGTTGGACTTGAGCCTGGGGCTCTGGAAGGCCGATAGGGCGATCAGGATCTGGGCAGCATAATAGGTAGCCATGACCACCAGGTGGGCATGGGGCAGGGGATGGACGAAGATGTTCCACGCCAGCACGGCATCTGAAAGCGTGAAGAGCAGGGCGCCCCAGCAGGTACTTCCGCCCCTGGCCAAGCCACGCCACAGCATAACGGCCAGGACCAGGGAGTAAGCCGTCAGGGGCAGGACCATGTCGGGTGGGAGGTGCCAAAGCAGGAGGCCATAATATGGGATGGAAGCCAGGAGAATAGGCAGCAGGAGACCGGGCTTCAGGGGAGCGAGGCCGAAGGCCCAGAGGTAGAGCAGGTGGGCCACGGCGAAGGCAGCCATGCCTGGAGGAGACAGGGGTGGGTGTGCCTGCTGAGACCCCTGCTTCCCGGCATCACCTCGTTGCCCTCAGAGCCTGAGGAAAAGGGCCGTCCCCAAGCACCAGCTCCCACCCTGGCCACACCACCCCATCTGCCAGGATTACAAAGCTGGCCTCCTTGGTGGTCCTCTTTCCTCCTGCTCTTGGCGCCAGAATGACCTAAAAACGCGCAATGCATTCCATCCTCACTCTGCTCAGAACTGTCCACTGACTGACACCCCATCTTGCTCAGCCCCTAGTCGGCTTCACCCAGCAGGCACACCCACCCCAGGGCTTCTGCACTTGCTGCCCCTCTGCCTGGAAGGGCCTTCCCTGGAAGGGCACCTGGCTGGTACCCTGCACCCGCTTCAAGACTTTACCTTCTCGGCGAGGCTGTCCTCGACCAGCGTACTCAGGACTGTGACCTCTGGACACTCACACAGCCTCAGGTAATGCTGCCCACGCCCTCATGGAAGGAGAGCTCCTCGGGGGCCAAGGTTTGGGTATGTCTCCCTCACTGCCGTCCACTTCCCAGTGCCTTTACACGCCAACTGGCTCAAGCACTTGGCAGGGGTTCTGTTGGGGAGTCGCCCCCTGCACCCCGGACACTCCCCCCGACGCCGGGGTCCAGAAGGGACAACACAGTACAGCCCCTCTCACCATGGAGGAAGGCCTCAGGCCAGACGAGGCAGGAGTCCCCCACAGCTGAGCACAGAAGGGCCCCCTGCAGGAGCAAGCTGTAGCTCCCGCCTGGGTACACGGTCCACAGGAACACCACGAGGTAGAGGATGGGCAGGCACTTGACCAGGGCACCGACCCAGGACGGCTGGTTCTCAGGGCTCCAGAGGAGAAAGTAGACAGCACAGGTGAGGAAGAACGGGCTCAGCCACCTGCCCACACGCGGCTGCTTGGGGGACAAAGGAGCCGCTGAGCCACTGGAACTCAGCCCAGCCCCCAGGCCCTGGGACCAGGCTCTCAGCCAGTTCCCAGCCTTTGGGGGTCAGGCCCCACATGGCCAGGAGTTGCGAGTCAGGGCTTCCATCCCACCCCCACCCAGGGACGCCAGCCATGCTGTCCAGGGTAGGGGGGCAGCTGCACAGGGACCAGGACATCCAACCCCACAGAACCCGGCCCCCTAATTCTTCCAGGTCACGTGGGTTCCCAGGAGCCCAGGCCCAGCTCCCACCCCACACTCCGTGGCTCTCACTTGAGCTGAAAAGCGAGCTTTTCCAGGCAGCCCCTCTTCCCGGGCGTCCATGTCAACGTGTGACCCACCCAAAGTGGCCTGCATGTGGGCACCGGTGGCTTTGGGGGTGGAGGGGATGGCGTGTGGTTACACGTTAACCCGAGGAGCGTCCTGTGGACTCTGGGACTGATAACAGGGCCCAGGGAGGTGCTGCCCCCACCCTGGGGATGGCCCTGCCTGGCACCCGCTGATAAGGTGCCCACTGGGACCCAGGGGTCTCTTCTCCACAGCCCCCTGCCCCTGGCTTCCTCTCTTGCCTAGGGAGCCATGGCTGCCAATGCCCCTCCCACTGTGCTGTGCCTGGCAGGTCAGAAGGGAATGGGGTGCAGAACTTCAATGCCCTCCCCTCCATGAGCCGGGGGGGAAGGGCAGGAGACCAGAGCCCAGGGACAGGTCGGGAGACTCCCTCCTCCCCTCGCCGTCCTCGGCCCTGGCCTTCCCTCAGGAGTCCCCACCACAAACGCCTGCTG